GGCTCTTCCCAGCCTCTGCCACACCATCTGCCTCCTCTCGCCCAAAGAGCAGTCTCTCGTCCTAATTAAATTGTTTTAATTAAACTAACGAGCATCACAAGCCAGACTCCGGCTGACCGACTTCAACCTTTGTTCAACTCATAATAAATCACTCAAACGATTGCATTCTGGGTTGCCGATAGGACAGATACAATCAAGGTTCATAATGTCATGTTTGATTGTGTGAAATCATTAAATATCATGATTCTGTGCAGAAGAGTGTTTGGGATGTGAAGTGCTGACAGTGATTCAGTTAATCTCAGGTTGTGTCCACTGTAAGACTTTTTCATGCAGCTGCTCGAGTGTTGCTACAATGCTCTGGTTTCTAGGTGGCTACATAATTACAAAAGAGTCCATCTTAAAGACAGTCTGATCTCCACGTATGATTCATGCTACTCCTTCAATGTGAAAAAAGAAGTGCTTAATTGTACTGAATGTGCACTTGTAGCGTAAAAGTTTAAATCTTAAGTATTTTTAAAACCTGTACTTGCAGATAACATATTATTAATGAAAATAAAAGCCACTTAATATAAAAGAGTTTCGCTGTTTCTTAACACACTTGAGTACATTTTTAAAACATGCTTTGTAATAGTGTCAAATTAAATATTTATTTTCAAGTTCATTATAAGTCATTGTTTTAATAATCTTTTGTTGTGCTTTAAAGCAGTACACTTATTTTGATGTGTTGACTGAACATACTAAAGTGCATACATTAGTGCTTGATTATAATTTTAACTGTAGTGTGTTATTCAGTATTATATTTAAAGTTAATATATTAATGTACCAAACCTCATCATTACAAATGTATATATTTAAATACATTACATACAAGTTTCAATAGTAAAGACATTAAATAATATTTTAGTTTACAAAAAAAATCTAGACTGTATATTCAGCAGTACATTTTAACCATATTTCAAAGACAATAGTAGCAATTATTAAATTTAAATTTAATAATAATTACATATAAAATATATAAACTATAATACATGTAAATTGAATTGAATTTTGAATTTTTCACGTCATGCCTAACGTTTTTCAGCCATGACTTATTCACAATATAGACCTTACAGCTCTCATACCTTATTGCTTACTTGAAGTATATAATTTTTGTAACAAGTAGTTTTTTACTACTTTAAAAACTGTGTTTTTTTTCCACAATGGAAGTCTATGGAAATCAAATTGCTTAAAGAAAACACCTCTCTTCAACAGGCTGAATGATTTGACATATCATTCAGCCTGTTATGCACTTGAGTTTAATACAGTTTATAAAACGGAGAGTTCCGGTCCTTGATTCTGATTGGCTGAGCCGCGTTCGAAGCTGTTGTAAATTACTCTACAAACATACACCTTTGTTTACTTCTGTGTGTTGCTCGGCAACCACTTTGTTGCAACCACAACCGTTTCTGAGGAACTACATTGTTTGGTGGAAGAATACTGTTTTTATTAATATCATTACACTTTATTTGCTCTGTTTTATTCTGTGAAACCTTACTACGTATATGGAATAACCATTTTATAAAAGCAATAAGCCCCGTGAAGCCGTGGTTTACAGTGAATTTATAACAGCTAAGGGGCGTTGTTAGGCATGATGCGAAGCAGACCACGGCTTCTTGGGGCTTATTGCTTTATTACATAGACTTTAAATCAGTGACCGCATGTATGAGTAATAGTTATAGTGATGCTTGCCTTGGCGAACACCAGCAATTATGTACTGAGAATGAAAGGCAGTGCTGAATGTTCATTATTCATTGAATACAAGTCAGTACCCTGTGAGCAGTATGCTTAGTATAAAGAGAAGCTTAGTTTTTGGACTGAACTCTGATGCAAACCAATTATTTGCTCATTAACTACTCAGAATAAGTGAAGTGACATGTGGCCAAGTATGGCGACCCACACTAGGAACTAGTGCTCTGCATTTAACCCATCCTAAGTGCACACACACACAGCAGTGAACACACACACACCCAGAGCAGTGGGCAGCCATTTTTTGCTGTGGCACCCGGGGAGCAGTTGGGGGTTCGGTGCCTTGCTCAAGGGCACCTCAGTCGAGGTATTGCAATACCCCACCTACAATTCCTGCCGGTACGAGACTCGAACTCGCAACCTTTGGGTTACGAGTCCGACTCTCTAACCATTAGGCCACGACTTCCCCCAGAATACCCCCCTGAATACCATTGCACACAGTAACACCATCACACCTTAAGTGTTTTTCTCACTAATCTAAAAAGTCTTTTAGTTTTCCGAGCACAGTGCTTATTGATACTACTCACTGAGACCAACATTTTTAAAGGATTTTTTTTGTCATGATTTCCAGTAAAAATATTTAAACTAGAGAAGGGCTTTTTGTTCATCAGTTCTTACAGACAGCATAAGTCAAGTACTCCCAGCACACTGTTGTCATGCTATCAGTGACTGATTATTACCGTCTACGTTCCGACACAAATTGCTGTCTGACAAATTAGCAGACATGACACCATAACCAATCACAAACTGAAAAAAAAAACCGAGTTGGCATATTTGTGTTTAGTTACTTTTGTCTCTTAGATGTCGCTTTACACTTACTGTGTTAGAAGAAAGTGAAATGCAATCGTGTCCCATCTAAACATCCTTAAAACATGATACATTTACAGAGGAGTCTAGAAGAATAAAACTAGTTTTAAGAAAATACTTCTTAAATATGTTCTAGCAAAAAATCATCTTTCAGTATGTTTAAAAAAGTAAAAATATTAAACAGAAAAGTGTTAGATTCTGTAAACAGATCTTAATTGCTCATGCAATTTTATTTCAAATACATTTATTTTGTTTTAGTGATATTTACATATTCTTCCTAGAGAACAAGACAAACGTACTGATTACAAAACTGATTTTTTTTTTCAGTGTAGCTGTGAGTGCAGACAATATTTCTGCAGTCACAGTTACAAACAGCAAGCAAATATGATAGAAACAGAAAGCTGAACGCACCGACTATCAGCAGAAACACAAAGTAAAATGCTGCTGCTCAATCAGCTCACGTCAATTTCAGGAACAAATATTTATAAACGACAAACAAATGAAGAAATTAATGGAAACTATAACCATTCTGTACCATTACCGTCAAACGCAGGAAGAATGAGAAGAATCTAAACTGTAAGCCCCAAAGACACAGAGGAGCTTACTATCCAGATCCTGCAGCACACCATATATTACAGGAACACAAAGTTCTGCTGTAAAAAACAGGCCGTCTGAGACAGTGAACACGTACTAGACAGACAGGACACCACACACGCGGACTGACTGCACACTCCCTGTTCTCCACCAAGGGCGACTACATAGACACCGTGTTGTCATCTGTAGCTGTTTGCCTGTTACTGCTGATCAGTGTTTAAGAGTATTCATTATGACCGTCAAACGATTACAAACTTTAATTGAATTAATTACATGATATGCAGATTATTTAACTGAATTATTTGCAATTAGTCACATATATCAGATTTGTTGGGAAAAGCCCCCAAGTTACAGCAATTTAATTGGTATGTCTCATTAAATATTTGTTATTTAAAAGTGCCATTTACGTCTGGAGTGATGTCTGGAGAAATCTGGTGTGTGTGTAGCATATATATATATATATATATATATATACATACAGACACAAATATACAGGTATAGGTATATACAGGTATAGTTAACTAAAACCATAAAATAAACTTTAAAATAAAATAAAAGCAACATTTCTCATTTTCATTTGGTTTAAAGGGTTAGTTCACCCAAAAATGAAAATTATATCACTAATTACTCACCCTCATGTCGTTCCAAACCCATAAGACCGTTCATCTTACACAAATTAACACAAATGAAGATAGTTTTGATAAAATCCGAGAGCTTTCTGACCCTCCATAGACAGCAACACAACTGAAATGTTCCCAGGCCCAGAAACGTAGCAAGGACATCGGTAAAATAGTCCATGACATCAGTGGCTCAACTGTAATTTTACGAACCTACGAGAATACTTTTTGTATGCAAAGAAAACCAAAATAACGACATTATTCAACAATTCTTCTCCTCCTCATCCCGTCTGCTGTGGCATGCCGCCATTGTGGAGAGTATCACAATGCATGAGTGTGCTTTCCTCTGCATATAAACAATGCATGCGCATGGTGCTGCTTACATAGAACATGTGTTGTTTACATGCGGAAAATGCGCGCATGCATAACATGCATAAACAAACAAACAAACCGGACATAAACACACAACAAAATTACCAAAAACTGAACTAGAATTAAAAAGAAAACAGAAAAGATAAAAACGAAAATTAAAAAACTATGAGTACATTATAAAAATTATTTAAAAAATATAATAGTATTTCAATTTTACTACAACAACACTGATGAGTACATTATATACTAGGGGTGTAACAGTACACGTATTCGTACCGAAGATTATCGGTACGGGTCTTTCAGCTCAAAACACATGTGTACCGAACAAATACAGCATTGTCTTAAACACTGCACGAGTGGAACTTCATTGGAAACTTCCCGTTTTATACATTGTTACTTTTGATAAAAAACAAAGTCTCATCTTTCAAATTACATCTATTTTTTAAAGGAAATTCAAGCAATAAATGCCGTTTCGACGCTCTTTGATGTGGCGCAACAGATCGCTGTATAAACACCTCAGTTCAAACGGCAGCGCGGAGCACGATCATCCCTTCCTCTTTACTAATAGTTTTAATACGAAATAAACATGAATGAACATCTCATGCCTCATGTAATCGCTCAATCAGTGTTTCAAGCACAGAAAAAGGTCAAAAATAAAAATAGAAAGTCACATAGCATTTAATTTACCTCAGGCAAGTCATCAGTGTCCACAGCTCGTTCGCTAGAGAAATTAAGTCTAGAGAAGAGCATTTTGTGAAATATTAGACTATATACTCATTATATTTTACTTTAACGGTTAGTGATGTCTTAATAAATGTAATGTATGTTTAAATATATCTGTTATGAAACAAGTTATGACAGCCAGAAATGTTATAATTTAGAAGTTAATTTAAAAACCGCATTATGTACAATTTACGTTTGCATACATTTGTTTTAAGTTGAGTGTTGATTATTATATTTAAAAATAAATAGTAATTAAATTGAAGTTTGGGCTTCACTAAACCCTACCGAACCGTGACGTCATGTTTGTGTACCGTTACACCCTTACTATATACTAGTCGGTATTATAGTAGATAATAATTAATAATATAGTAAATAAAATCATACATAATTATCAATTTAATGTGAAAAACAGACATAAAACACTTTCAGTTTACAAATGAAAACATGCATCATATGACATATTCGGCATTTAATCACTACTGAAATTGCTAAAAATATTAGTCTATGGTAAGGGATGTCCCTTGCATTCATGCTCAAATGTGCACCCATATCAGAAACAGATCTTGTCTTTGGGCATTTCATTACTGATGGTTGAACATTTCCACTGGAAAGCCATCTGATTGAGCACAGTGAGATGAAAATGAGTGTTCCCCGCACATCCTGGCGGCTCCAGACCGCTCGGTTTGCCACTTAATGAGGGTTTTTGTGGCCCTAGGGCCGATCTGGACGCACAAACAAATGCGAGGGTGGAAACTATTCAAAGACTCTTGAGCAACTGCTCAAATCACATATACTAAATAATCTCTCAGATTTGTAGATTACAACTGAAATGGCACAAATAATGATCTTAAATCAGCGTATGACTTAAACTGAAACAAATCTGTAACACCGTTGTACAACAAACATCTTCACAAATCACCCTGGGTGGACTCTTTAAACATGTTTCACAGGCTTGTTTAAGCCTCAGAGCTTTATCCTCGGGGTAAAGCTGCTCTTCCTCATTAATTACGAATCGTATCTTTTGGTTTATTGTCGCCCCTATGGAACAGGCGTACAACCACACCCTCTTTTCAGAGCTACATGTCAGTTTCACACTGGCTTCCTCTTGTCTTGGATGGACGTCTTTCATGCAGATTTGGCCACATCTGAGGTACCACTTCTGAGTATGACCTGATGCTGGATTATTCTGGTTTGGTGCTGGTCTAATTAGTAGTGGAGTATGGTTTTACCAACAGCAAGGTCATGGGTTTGATTCCCAGGTAACACAAAAATGCTTTGGATAAAGAGTTTCCCAAATGCAAATTTTGACTTGAAGCTGATTAAATCAATAAATATTCTGTCATCATTTACTCACGCTTATGTCATGGCAAATTGATTTTTTTTTACTTCTGTGAAACACAAATGACATAATCTGAAGAATCTTCAGCTGCTTTTGTCGGTAGAATAAAAGCCAATGGGGGTCCAAAAAATTTAAGATCATTGGTTCTTGCCTGTCACATCGTGATGTCATATCTGTCTGTTCATCAAGTGACTCTATTGCATCAGAATACTTAGATTTTACCACTGATTAAACCAATGGACTACTTTTAAGTCTCCTTTATGTATTTTTTGGAGCTTTGGACCCCATCGAGTATTAATGTATGGACAAAAACAGCTGGAAGATTTTTAAAAAGTTCTGCAGCAAACAGAAAGTCATATAGGTTTGGAACAATACGAGGTTGAGCAGACAATGTCAGAACTGAGATTTTTGGGTGAACTAAACCTAGTCGGGATGCCAGCATGCAAAGCACAACATTTGATGGTCTTTTCAGCAGGTCTAGTAAATGTCAAGATGGTCAATGAATAATGGTTTGTTCTTCATGTAAACCTATTATATGGCTTCTGAAGACTTGTAATAGTGCATGACTGCCTTATTTTACTTTTATAGTACTTTTTGTCCTTTATGCTGCTGCACAACTTCTGGTCACCATCTAAGGGAAAGAGCAGCCTGGACATTCTGCTAAAAATCTCTTTTTGTGATCTACAGATTTAGAGTCTTGCAGGGCTTGAGTGAATGAGGGCAAGTATGATGACAGGGTTTTAATTTTTTAGTAAACTATTAACAGTGATGGTTTCCAAACTAATGAGCTATATCCTGAAAGAAAGAGGCATACTCCTCATAAAGAAGGGAATTCCACAATGATATTGTACTTTTCTCTGTCTATATTGACCTCTCTAACATAATCCTATGGGACATGCTTTAAATAATGTTCTCCTGCCAATAAAAGCTATGATCCATTGTAGTACTGACCATCACTTGTGTCTTATCGAGTGTAATTCATAACGCAAAACTGTGATGCGAGACCAGATGGGAACGAGTGTCCATGATGATAAATGACACTAGCTGTTTTATGGTTTCTCTCAGATTTATTATTGGTTGGCTGCTTACTGGGCAGATGCTATTTTCACCATAATTATTTATTCTAAATTATGAAACAAGTTACTTTAAATACATTAGTTAAGAATAACTGGGCTGCTGACAGATACCATGAAATATAGATGAAGGGGGAGATATTACTTTTCCAGTGAGCCTGTGTTGATCTTTTTACATCTAAAAAAAATTAATAATAATAATTTGTGATGTGACTTTTTCTCTAATTCAAAAAACACTTTAAATACAATTTAGGAAAAATAAATCACAAATTAGAATGAATTAACTCAAATATTTATCTTCAAATTCATCAAATACCACATTTTCTGAGGTAGTCTGTTCACATTACATGTAGGCTATATCTCAAGTCGAACTGAACACCAATAAATATGTAATTTCATTCCATCTTATTGCTCCTACGAAATTTTGAGAGAGACATCTATAGTATAAGTGAAACAAAGTCTAATGTTCCTCTAGTTTTTCTTGCTCCATCAGAAACATGGTAATTGGTCATGTAGGTATCTTAGGTGGTGGGTAAGGTGTTAAAACCCCAATCCTTCATATTACATGTCTCAAACACATATGAACATTAACACTCAACAAAAACATTCTGAAAAGAGCAAAAACAACCCAACAGCTTGAACATCTGAAACCAGAGATCAGACTAAATAAAGCACAAATATTGTTACCGCATTTTCAAATTTTCCCCTATAAATCTGAGCTCAATGTTACACTGTACTGTACTCTGGTTCAAATCTAAAGCCTTGATGACACAGCATTTGTCCTTGAGAACGTCCCTTCCTTGTGATCCCCAGTCCTCTGCAGGAGAATCCCAAGAGAGCGAGAAAAAACCTTGCCAGAGAAAGAGAGCGAGAGCTGCCCAGCATCTAAGGAAGTTCCCTTTTCATTCCAGTGTGTCGAATTGACACTTCTAGCGTCCAATATAAGCACTAACTCAAGCCTCTAGCAGAAACACAAAACATTTACAACAACCACTGTGACAGGAAACACCAAACCAGATCTATCTGAGAGTATTTAATGGAAAACAATTGGTGAACTGTTATACATGTCCATAATGGAAACATCTCAATATCTAAAGAGTATGTTGATGTATTCATGGGAACAGTATTGATTATCAAGTGTTCAACACAAGGTGGAAATCAACGACAAAGTGCTTTGAATGAAAGCGGACAGCAGGTATCCAGTTTCCTCCTCTCTTTGCTGTACTGCAGAGCTCTTTTAATGCACTCCATTGTCTGTGGTCTCTCCCTGTGATCCGCTCTAACGGCAGCTGTACCAGCGAGCTGCAGCATATTGTCTTGCCGCTGTTTGGCGATGGGGAGGAGGGTGTCGTTCCCTTTGCCTCTCCAGGGGAAACATGGCAGCTGTCATGGGGACCGACCTCTGGAAACTCTCTAGGAAGCGACCGGCACCCACGGACGGAGTAAACACCCACCCGCCTGCCGACAGCTCGCGGCTCACTTTGCCCTTGTGCACCGTTCCGGGACCAGCTTCCCGTGACGGGTCCCTGACTCCAACCTCTGTGAGGTGTAACAGAAAGCTGACCTGAGATCAGCAAGTAATGCAAGTTGAACTAAACTAACCCATATAATCCGACTGGGACAAACGCTTTGAGCTCGGGACACTGCAGCAATTCCCAATCAGTTTAACATCACTTTAGAGACCAGTTTTCTTCAGACTCAACACAAACAAGAGTTATCCAAGACTGACAAGCATATGAATCACACTGCAGTAGCCTACTCTAGTAATCAGCGAGGCCACTCTCGAACGGGCTTCCCTCTCCGCTGCAAGATTAAGTTATAAGCATCTAGTGCCCTGGACAATCTTTCCAGCATCCAGCGCGGCATATCCCACCTTCTCATATCCGGATCCCCCATCCCAATTTTGCAGCACCTTTGAGAAAAAAAAACACGTTGAAAGGCTACACACCTGACTGCAGTGATCTGCTCGGTCCTAATCCTCAATGAGCGTCTGGGCCATACACCAGCGAGGCACTTAGGGGTTAACGTTTCAGTGGCGTGCGAACGTCTCCTGCTTGCACTCTTCCATCAGCCCGAGAAACTGCAGTCATCCCCCCTCTCCACTCGTTACTGCAGCACCACACACACACACACACACACACTTCAGTGAGCACACACATACCCCCCTCCCCTCCTTCTGTGCGCTCTCTCCACCACTTTCTCTCTCCCTCAGAGAAATCCCCCCCTCCAAATACACACACACACATTCCCTCTCTCTCCATTTTTCCTTCCCCCACCCTTCCCATTCCATCCTCTTCCTAAGCTGCCTGATTGGAGATGCTGCTCACACAGCTCTGCATACATCCCTTTTTCATTTTTTCTCGTGTCTCCGTCTCTCACGCTGTGGGGTAATCAGCACGGGTCAATATGAAAGACTTCCTCTGCCGTCCCCATCAAACTCTGTGACCTCAAAATACCCTGTTGTTTTTGCTGAAATACGCGCTGTTTGATGGTAAAATTCAATATTGAATACAATACAATACAGCTCTCTGGGCAGAAGAGGGAAAATAGAGCGGTTGCCTGAATTTTTAAAGAGAAGGGCTGCAGAGGTTCTGCTGCTCGCAATATGCTGCAGCAGAGAGAATGAAAGACAAAGACGAAAAACTTAAAGAGATGGCAGGAGTATAGTGGTTGACTGATATGTAAGGGATAATGTAAAGTCAGCTGGTCATTATGGCTAAATAAACTGTACATTATTACACTTAAAGGGTTAGTTCACCCAAAAATGAAAATTAGCCCACAAATTACTCACCCTCAAGTCATCTTAGTTGTATATGACTTTCTTCTTTCAGACGAATCCAGTCAGAGTTATATTAAAAATTGTCTTTGATCTTTCAAGCTGTTTAATGCCACTCAGTGAGTGTTGCATGCATCAGTCCAAAAGATAATTTTCATTTTTGGGTGAACTAACCCTTTAATACAAGCTATGCAGAAAATCGGTTGTCTGGGACAGCGGTCAGCTTAGACAGGTTAGTGTCATTATACAAACATATCCGACTAAAGAATGCCATAATTGACCAATAAGAACCAAGCATTCCAGGGAGCTGTGTATTAAGTCGACCAATTAGAGATGAACTGATATATCGGTTTTACCAATTAATCGGCACCGATAGTTCTTATTGTTTAGAATTTAGTTGAATTTAGTAGTTTTTCTTTCTAGACATATTT